CACTTCTAAGTAGTTTCTTAGAGATTCTGATAGCAAATGTGGACAGGGCGCTCCTATTATAAATTCCCATCTTCTAAATTTTTAAAGTGATGTGCTGAATATTATGTTCTACTGCTTAGACTTTAATTTTATATAGTAATAATAAGTTATTAACCTAGCAAGAGCAGAGCTGCAAAACTAGATTAAATTTGCACGAATTGTTCTACAAGGGAATTTCTTAAAGCTTACAGATCTAAATTCGGGTATGAAAGGTCAGAATTATATTAGTGCAAAATTAAAGAACAATAAGCTGGTAATTATTTGCAGAAGAAAAAATGTTTGGAAGGTATGAGAATTCTCCTCAAGCGGTGTTGTCTTCTGCTAAAAGTGCTTCCCTACTACTTGCTGTCATTTTTAACTGCAGCTTATTGGTGCGGCTGAAGCCTTACAAAGACTTCGAAATTGAGGAGCATATAAAAGAATTTGCAGCAAAATTGTCCTTGATACCGAGCCCTCCTCCAGGGCCGCTTCATCTGGTAAATACTTAAGATACGCTACGCTTAAAATTTCCTGAGCTTTAGTGCAAACCAAGGAACGTTAAGAGCTTTTTAAAAGCTAGGGCATTTGAGGAGGGATCAGTGAGGATTTCCTGCTCACCCTGTTTCCCTTGCAAAATGCCCATCTTGGACTTTTCTTGATGCGTAACAGGGTGCTCAGAATTAAAATGTTTTTGGCAGGGCGGGATCTGAACTCTGTTTCCTTTTCTTTTCCTGATCTCGTGCTTCTGCTTTGTTTCGCCCAGTTGAAGTCCACACATCTTAAAGTTGCCAAGGTTGGGAAACACTGGTTTAGCCTCCTACTCCTTACACCTTTTCTGGGCTCTGCGTAGCGTTGGTCACCCCGAAAGAGTGTAGCATGATGTGGGTATAAGTACGTACAGGATTCTTAGACATATAATGGAGATGGAGTTCTGTATAGAATGTGGCATAATTCATCGATGCGTTCTGATAGAGTCTGTGGGAAACTGCAGCATTTTCTGGTTTTTTGGGAGTTGTCCAAAAGGTGCAGCCCATTGACATTGTTTTTGTGGCTGCCAGAGCCCTCTGGAGTGGGTGGGCCAAACATTTAAGCCCCTTTTTGTGTTTATTGGGATTCCTTTGGTTGAATAAGCACAAAGGGGGATGCTTTGAGCCTTTTTGAAATGTCCACTTCCATTCAAAACAGGATGTTTGGAAAGTTTTGCCCTCAAAACAGTTCAAAATGAAATGTTTTGCACAACTCTGCTTTGTAGTAATTCTGTTTTTGTCTCTCTGATTCCGGATAGTGTTGCTTGAAGATACTTGCTCTTCAACTACCAATGTTTCTGGGTGAAATAAAAGGGCTGATTATTACTTTTCAAGTTGTGTAAGACTTGGGTCTAGACCACTTAAGCAAAAGTCTTTTTTCTGTAGGGTCTCCCCTACTTCCAGCTTAATAACATCTGAGGAGTGTTCCTACAGTTACAGTGGACTGGTCCTGAGTTGCAGGAAGGCAGATTCTCCATATACTGTAAATTGCTTTTCTTGCTTGAAAATGATTAGGTCTATCATAATAGATGTTTTTTTATGCTTATAGAATAATGCAGTTATTAGGAATGTCAGTTTCTCAGTCTTCATGCTTATCAAGAAAAATATGAAAGGAACTTTGATTATTATCAAGTCATCTTGCTATATTACCATGTCATATCCTAAACTGTTCAAAATAATTGTTTTGCATATAAGACATTTGTTGGGTCCAGACAACATTGCCTATTCCTCTCTGGTTCTCTTTAGAAAATGAATTGTAATCTCCATCTGCAGTTTGTGGTGATGAAACCTACAAAAAACTGAATATCCCCATCTGTTATTCTTCTAGCTGTTTAATATGAAGCCTCTCCAAGTAGTATTTCCGTCTCAGGAGGATCCTGACAGTCCAGTTATTGACTTGGATCTCCATCTTCCCTTTCTTTGCTTCAAGCCGGAACAGATTTTACAGGTAGAGCGTTCTTTAAGCAGACGGAAGTTTTCTCTGTCAATCATTTGCCAAATTGTACAGGGTTACCTTAGCCCAGTGTTTCTCAACTTCAGCAACCTTAAGACATTGTGGACCTCAACTCCCAGAATTCCCCAGCCAGCATGCTGGCTGGGGAATTCTGGGAGCTGAAATCCACACATCTTAAAGTTGCTGAGGTTAAGAAACCCTGCCTTAGCCAAGTGCTGTTGTTCTGCAGAGGTCTTGCTGGTGGGGACATCTTGAGAGATAGAAATAACTTAGGAGGACAGTTGTGGAGGTTTATACAACTATATGGGGCATAAAGAAAATGAATAGAGACTTCATATGTAAACATATTTAGTTGCACTGTGCATAAAGACTAACTTAACTGCAGGCTCCACATTTTGCTTTCCTGTTGAAGGTTCCCCCATTTATTCTCCTTTGGAAACTAGTTTCTACATGGTTCTCTAATCCCTAACTGCCATCCTCAGTGATAGGATTCACTAAAATGTTTTTGGGGCACCTCCTCTTTTAAAAGTCTGACTTTTATTGTTGAATTTTGAGCTATTTGTCCTTCCATGTGCCTCGTTACATGTCTGTGCACGGGGTCAGAGTGATGCTTCACCCCAGTATCTTTTTCATAACTTGGTTGTCCTCCTACATCAGGTGATCTCTATAAATTTCCCTTCACTCTGTTGGTTATTTCTTGCACAGAGTTGTTCCAAATAAAACACTGCCTGTGTTCTGTTCCTTAAAAGTCATGGAAGAGCTTTTCCCTCTTCCAGTTGTTCTGCTGAATAGTTCTTTGATATGAGAAATAACATGAAAAATACGTAACCAGTATTATATTTCTTTCTTTCTCAGAGAATCATTGTTTTTCTTAAATAAACTCATCATCCCTCCTCCCCCAAAGTACAATGCTAGTGAGTAATATGCAATTTGTACTGTGGAACAATTCACCAACTATTCAGTTCGTTTTTTTAACAACTACAAAAAAATTAAAGTGACCTTTTTCAGGGGAATATGCTTCTGTCTGAGTGCTCACACACCAAATGTTAGAGTATCTTCTTTGTCTTGCTTCTTTTTTTTTTTTTTTTGCTTAATTAAATTCAAAACACACACAATTAACTCACTGGATGAATTAAGAGATGCAAAATTGTAGTACTTTTTTGGGTTTTTTGGCTAAAGACAATATGGATTTTA